TAGATAAGGCGTGGAAAACAAATTCTTGGAAAACAAATCAGGTCGAATTTTTTGCGTTCGACAAGTTTACAAATTCTTGCCAATAAATCTGGGTGCGTGCAAACCAATCTTTTATTTATTTATTTTTTTTATACACCACATCTGAGGAGAAAGAGTACCACGAGGCGCTGTTTTTATCATACAGACCTCGTACAAAATGCAGTATTTCACAATTTTTCAAGACAAATTGAATTCCTTCAATATTCAGGACCATCGAAGCAAGCGTGGACTTTTAATTAGCGAAACCGTTCAAAAAATTTCCAAAATCTTCTATACGGCCAGCCGGTTCTAACTTTTGACAAGCGCCAAATTTGCGAAGAAATTTTAAAAGAGTTACGCTTCAACGTGATAAAGAATTTATTGAGTCTATTTTTTATTAATGGTTTTATAACGATGTGTAATCTTAAAAAGCGTTTGATACGCTCGGCATTTTGAGTACTCCTGCAAGCGATGTTTTCGAACGGCTGAAAACAAACGGAAAAGCGATGAAAATTACACTTTTGAGACTACCAACAATCAATAAAGAAATACAATTCGGTAGAACATTTACAGAGACAACAATTTTCATTCACGAAAACAAATGAGTATTTAAGTGTCTCTAAGAATCCTCAGGTCTTTACTTAGATTAAAGATGAAGTTTATGTTTTAAGCCGCCGGTTTCCCGGTGTTTGCTGTTTTCAAAGATGAACTCACGACAAGAAAGTCGCTCCAAGCTTTCTTTCTACAGCCAAAATTATAACTAAGTATTCTTCGGAAAGTCTTTTCTTTCTATTTACGGTGAATTAATATCGACTAAAGGCTTTTTAAAGTTCTGTAAGCTTAAGCTTATATCAAACCTCATAGTAGGTCAGATCAGTGTCTCAGTCAAATCTTAATACAAACGTGCATAAACTAGCTTCATAAACTGCGCCGCTGGACTTCATGAAATTATATTTAAATACAATAATTACTCAGGCTTACCATAATTCGAGATGCAGCTCCTGAAAGCTATCAAGTAAGGCAAGGATCGCTTGAGCCTTTATAATTCTCGTACGCATCCAGCAAGGTGAAAAACAAAAACGATGCCATTCGAAATCGGATTAGCGGCTTTGACAAGCGACGCATTTCTCGACCAAAAACCCAACAAACAAACCAGCCATGAATAAGAGAACACGCTTGATACAGCTGTATTTCATTTTTTACATCCAGTGGAAAAAGACAGTTAAAAACATCACAAGTTGACTCAAACTCTGTCAGCTTCAGCTGTCAAAGTAAACAACTTTCAAGATGCTGCATAAATTTTATGCATGAACTCACCTGTCAAATTTTAACCAATCAGAGCATAAAAATTGGACGTGGAGCGTGATCAACACGTGACCATGGTAAGAAAAGGTCTTCCCCGCCTGTATTTTAAAAAAACTGGCTGAATTTTTGCGTCTGAGGTCAGTTTGAAATCAAAATCTTAATAGTGCGGGACGATACTGACATAAACACAACATATTTGATGTGAATTTTAAAAAAAGTAAACGTGAGCCTGCGATCATTTGAAAACGAGCAAATTGTCAGCGGATAACTTCAAAAAAACACTCAACCTTGATGGGTCGACACATGAGCCCGCGATACGGTCAGGTGATACTGGTCAGCGGATACCCTGTTTTGACAGCTGTCAATTGATGACAACATTGATGTGCAGTCAGCTTTCTCCTGGGCTCCCAACCTAGCTAGAAAGTGTGAGAGTAAACATTGGTATGCCTGTGGTGCGGACGGACGGTCGGTCGGTCACGTGATTACCAAATTTTCTGGGATGGGTAGATTTATTTACCCATGGTGCTCCGCAGGCGCGCTTCGCGCGCGGAGCTCCGCTATTAGAGCCACTAGTGACTGTCAGTGTGCAAACATTGTTCCTAAAGATATCACTCTGGTTATGCATGATCATTCAAAGAGAAAGGAATTGGGTTTTGCTAGGTTGAGAGTAGAGCATAATGGCAGCAAGCATGATTTGAACTTTGTTATAGTTGATCAAAAGGTTACACCTTTGCTTGGTTTGAAGTCTTCTCAAGGTATGGGCCTTGTGAAAATCATGGTTTCTGCTGTTGACACCAATGTCAACAATATTAATGCTGTTCCAGTACAAGCTGTTCCTGAGAATGTTTCATCAGACTCTGTTCTTAGCCCCTTTGCTGATGTATTTCAAGGTGTTGGTTGTCTACCTGGAGAATACAGTATTCAGCTGGATAAAGAAGTGCGTCCCGTGGTTCATCCCCCACGTAGAGTCCCTGTACCTAAGAAGGAAGCAATGAAGGCAGAGCTTGATAAGATGGTGACTAACCAGATAATTGTACCAGTTACTGAGCCAACCGACTGGGTGTCTAGTGTCCTAGCTGTTCCCAAAAAAGATGGGTCAGTCCGCATTTGCCTGGATCCAAAAGATTTGAACAATGCAATCAAGCGTTCACACTATCCCTTACCTACTGTGGATGATGTTACGTCCCGACTTACCAAGGCAAAAGTGTTCAGTGTAATGGATGCAAAAAGTGGTTTCTGGCAAGTAAAGCTGTCAGAGAGCTCCAGTTACTACACCACGTTCAATACCCCATTTGGTAGATTTTGCTGGTTGAGAATGCCCTTTGGCATCAGTTATGCGCCCGAGCTGTGGCAGCGCAAAATGAATGAGGCAATCGAAGGTCTTTGTGGAGTTGA